TAATCTGTTAATACATATTTTTTATTATTTTATTAATTTTTAAAGATTATATCAATTCAGATCTTAGATTTGCATTAAAAAAAGGAATTGAACTTGAGAAATAATGTAATCTATTTGTCCATTATTGACAGAGATCATCTTTTTCTTCTAAGCTTGAGATTCTGAGGAATTTCTTGCCAGGTGTTCAAGCAATAGCCAAATACTATGCTTTATATTAATTTAATCTTTTATTTGTTTATTTATTCAGATTTGTTGTAGCTTCCCAACTCCAATGAACTGTAGGTAGTGTACAAATCAAAAATCTTCATAAAAAACAGATAAAATAAAAACCACACAGGCAGCCCAGACTAAAACAATCTAAAAGCAATTCAAAACAAACTAAGCAAAACAGCCATCCCCACCCCACCCAAAAGACAATAATACATTACCCCTAGGCCTGGGACCAACATTTTAAGAATGTTTGGAACCCTAGGAGAAAGGAGACCACCTTATGTTTAGGAGAAGTCCTTCCAGAGGGTGAAAGTTGTATTAGAAAAGCAGTGCTTCCTCAATGTCACAAAATAACAACATTTAATAGAAACTGGAATGCACCCATTCTCAGCACATAATTGAGTGGGCAGAAGCAATTTGACATTATCAGTATCCAAACTGTATACTATACAGGTAATTAACAAATAGTACCCTTGGGCAGTTGCCTAGGAAACTTTAATAAGTTTGATTCATGATAATCATTCTATTTCTGGATATCAATATCCATTAATGTGATTATTGAATAATATCCAAAATATAAAAAACAATACAGGATCATGCATATCTATAAATTACATTCAATATATAATAACTAAAAAATAAGGCCCATTTATAATATGTATGCATGTATGTATATGTATATATGTGTGTGTGTATATGTATATGTAAATTGCAACATACCATTCTTTTATCATTGCCAAACCTGTAAAAAAATACACTAGTCTTTATGTGAAATGGTAATTGGTCATTGTAAAATATCTTGAATTTTTGAAAAATGCCGCATGCTAAAATTATATTGCTTTTATCTGAAACCTTGATTCAGTTTCAAATTTTAAACCATTAGTTTCATCTGTACTACTCCCATTAAGAATAACTTGCTTTGTTTTGCATAATTAGCTGCATATTTCACAGAAATTGACATTTCTCAAAATGAAGGGAGTAAAAAAGTGCCAACTCCCAAGAATCCATATAGAAAATAGGCCTTTCTGAGTTATTTATGAATTACCTGAATAAAGGGGTAAGCAGTAAAATTCCCTGTTTGTGAATCACACAAAATTATCCAAGGCAGTAATAAAAATGTTAATTGGAAAAGCTGCAGAATTGTTTTCCGAACTGAAAATGGCAGCTATTATTCAGAGTAAGTAATGTGATCACCTGGGGAGATTATAAAGAAAAAACTTAATTTCTCCTATACAACAATGGAATATAAACAATTATTTACTGACCAGAAAGAGGATTTACTGAGGCAGTTGTTGTAGATAACTCAAAGCTATGAAAACAATGAATTCTGTATTAAGGGTCATTGTAAAAATGCAGGATTTAAAATCAAATTGGGATGCCTTTAAACAGTTCTATAATACAGCTATACACTTGGAGTACTAGGCATAGTTTTCATCAACACGCTACGAGAATTCAAATAGATGTAGAGAAGGAAAATCTGAAAATGTTTTGGATGGAACATTTTCTTTCAAAAAGAGATTATGACATATAAAATTATTTAATTTAGAAAAATATGACTAAGGAAAGCTATGCTAGAGATTATCATGTGGATATAACAGAGAGAAATTTCTTTTCTCAATAGCAAATACTAAATCTAAGCTCCAATTTAGCTAAGTGGTGAGAAATTGGTACAAATACAGGAAAATAATTCTTTACCCAGTAAGTGAAAACTATGCTCCTATGAGATACATCTATGGCCACCAATTTAGAAAATTTTACAGGAGGATTAAAAAAACTCAGAGAGACACTTACACTAATTAGTGGTCATGATGAGTAAGTATGTACTTTTTTTCTGAATCAAAGGCAATCTTCTGAATAGCAATTGTTGAAAGTACAAGAGTGAGAACAACTTTTTCATGCTTTTGTGTAGATGTCTATGAAGAAAAAAGTATATCAAACTTTTCCTAGTCTGTTAAGTATTTTATATCAAAACTATACAATTCTATGAAATATAGGCTTTCAGTTAGGCTTGGCAACAAAAGTCACAAACCATATAAGTGCGCTACAATTAAAATTGTTCATGTTTTTCAATGGATGAAGTTGTAAAAAGGTATAAATCAGTGTATTTGAAATCTAGACATAGGTCTTAATTGCTGAATGTTTATATGATTATTTACAGTGAGAAGTATACTGCTCTGAAACGAAGGACAATTCTTTTCATCAAATCACTATTTTTTCTATTTGTGAATTCTGAAAAAAATTCCATCCTTTATGAATGTTCTTAAATGTCTGTTCTTTTTCTTTTTTAATTCTCAAGCTCACTATTTGGATAAAATAGTTAAAGGTACTGTACATTTGCTCTTACTTGACATGCTTCCATGTATCTCTACATGCCTTCATATATCTTTGTGTATACTGTAGTGGTCATTCCATTAGACTTGGCAAGTGCAACATATTCATACTCATTGAATTACAGATTTCATTCGTGTTATTTTCCATATGACTTGGATAAGAGAATATTTAGTGTTTTTGTTATCTGTTAACATTTTTACTAAGCGGTTTGTTAAGTTTCACAGTATGTGTATAAATAGATTCACTTTGATGGTCTCAGATGCTGAAGATTACAAGTATTTGTTGTATTTGGTGTCTTAAGTGTCCCAACTTTATTGTTGGAACAAACATTCAATTATTCATGTATGAAAAAAGATGAGAAGACCCCCCACACCTGGAAATTTATAATAGAAACATGAGTTCAGGTTTGATATGAAAAAAAACTGGGAGACATTTAATGCTTAAACTTTGAATTTTGCATTCAAATATCTTGACATATTTTGAATACTATCCACTAAAATTAACCACTAAGGTTTTTTTTACTTCAAAGAAAAAATTGTAAGAAAATCAGTGCAATATGTGAATTCTACTTTACATGCGAAATTGATGTGAATATAATATTTAATATAGATAAATACTTCTTCATTAGTAAAACCACTAAACAGCAAATATTTCCATATCTTCAGTTGTTGGTAGAAGTCTGGCTATTTAATTTATTTATTTTTATTATCATCAGTGCTCCCCTTTTTTTCCAGATTGCCTTTCTTCTATTCCTTATTTGTGCTTTTTCATTAGAGTATGGCAATATCCAGGCTTTCGTAGAATTATTCTTAATTGGATCAAATTGTCTGCAATACCTTGATGATAGGACAGATAAAGCTGTGTATCCTATGTAGTAATCAAGTGGAAAACATTATTTCAAAATTAAAATATATCCTCTGCGTGTGTATAGTTAAAAAGGGGAAAGTGGCAAAAATGCTAAAGAAAAAGAAGGCCATATATAATCTCAGCCAGGTAGGATTACATGACATCCATAACAATAATTTAATCATACCTGGCCATGAGGTGTTACTATAATTCCATTTCAATTAAATTATTGTTTAATTTGTACTAACATAGATAAATAAAGAAATACATTTATAATTGTTTTTGTCTAATAGACATAGGAACAGATTCTCTCAATAATATTGTCAATCCCCTGGAAAGTATCCTGCTCTAGAACCCAGAGATATAGTCAGAAAAAAAAATGGCACATCTTAATGTGTGTGGAGTAAAAATTAAGTTCTAAAATCTTATTTGTAGCTAGTGATTATAGTTTTGCTTTATTTGCTTATGTGAATTGTCTTACAACACTCATAGATAAGGAATACTAGAATTTTACATATCTATATATAAACTGTCATCATTCTCATACAGGTCATGTTGGCTGCATGCCAGGTTTTCATCAATATGAATTGACAAATACTGTTTTTGATGTAATGTTAGATTTAAAAATAGATCTTGGATATATTAAATAATTTTAATTGTTTCCCAAATTTTCCCTCCTTGGCCATTAAAGCAGACAAGATAGGATATAAAGGTAACAGAACAAAAGCCTTAGGGAGATTGTCACAAAAAAAATATAATCACTTTCCGCTCTGTCTTGAAGCACGTCACTACCGTGTTTTTGTTCAGTCTATCAATGTTTTATTGTGGTCCTTATGGTATTTCATTTTGTCCGTCCTAAATACTCAAATACGCACAGCTATTACATTTAGTTGAAATCTTGTTGGTCCTGTCCCATCCGTATGCAGCCTGAATCCTAATGTTTGTTAGACTAGATGCTAAGCTGCTTCACTATTTCCTGAGCTTTGCTTATTCTGTGGAAAGGAATGTATTTTTGGCATAAAGTATAGTCATAAAATTGACATATACTTTGTGCAATTATTTAAAGCACTGTAATTTCACATGAATATACGGCAACTCTGAGACCAGATGAAATTAACATTCTCTTTTATTGAGTACAAGGAACATACCTTCCTTTGAATTTTAAAAATACTTCTTTAAAACAAGGAGCTTAACAAAATCTACATAAGTAACTCATGATACAAATATATCAAATCATTATTCTTAAGAATAGAAGCACTATTGTTTTATCTTGAAGCTATGTTGTATGCTGTGATGCTGTTGCCTGCTGTTTCACTAAAGAAAATGAAAATATGCTTTTGTCTGGCCCGCAGGTATTTAGTGGTTTCTTAGATATATTTCCTGCCTGCACAGGTAAGTGGTGTCTCAAAGTGTCAGACAAATCAAAGATGCCACTTAGTTAAGAATAAGAATCCCAGTTAATGTTGCTTGTTACTCTCCATGTGCAATTACAGTATTTGTGCTGTTCTGAAGGCCTGTTCCCAATAAGTGTCCCCTGTTTGTATTTTAATTAGATTGAAATATTTTTGCAATATTTAAATCACATGGAGTATCCTTTTTGTCTGTTTTAACAGAGGGATGCCCTGGCCTGTGTAATAGTAACGGAAGATGTACTCTTGACCAAAATGGCTGGCATTGTGTTTGTCAGCCTGGATGGAGGGGAGCAGGATGTGATGTAGCCATGGAAACTTTATGTACTGACAGCAAGGACAATGAAGGAGGTAGGTGTAGAGCAAAATTCTTGCGCTGCTAAAAAAATGTAAAATTATTGGCTTCTTAATCAGCTGAACAAAATACTGCTGTGAGACTGATACAGAGCTTTTACTACCTGGGATGAAATACATGTAGAAATGTGCTTCAACATTTATTGCCTTCATTTTGTATGCTATCAAATCCTTAAGTGCTGGTTACAGCAAGCAAAATGTGTACATCAAAACCCATTAGTGAACATTAGATTATAACTGGTAGTATATCTATCAAAGAGCAAATACAATAATCCGATGAACTTTATCATAAAAGTGCATACCAACAAAAATGGTTGTGAAATCCATTTTCAGATTAAGTTTTGAAAAATTTACAGAATATGCTGAGAAATAGCTACATAAAAGCTTTTCCTTTTTAACTGCCCTTTATCAGCAATAGTGTCATCCCTAATACTGCATATACAGGCTGTCCTCAACTTACGATCATTGATTCCAACCACATCACTTAGCAACATAAATTCCAGTCTCAATTGCCATTCTAAGTCAAAGACAAGCTATAACTGTGTATTAACTATATTTTTCAACATTTCCACCAACTTGTTTAAAATGGAGGTCTTCATTAACCCTTTTGAATTCTCCCAACGTTCATATTCCTGACAGAAGCAAAAGTATTCTGTTTTTCAAATTACATTCAAATCTTTATTTCTCTTTCCCTTTCATATGGGCCATATCATAACTTCCTTTACTGGTTTTTCAAATTGTTCTTCTCAGTATGCCTGGATAAAGTTTTTCATGTTGCCTACCTCCTCCAGCCTCTTCTTGCGTGTCCTCTGTTTCTTAAATCATTATAGTTAAATTTCCACCTTGTATGTTTAAGAGGATGCTGAGGTATATTTCTAGTTAACCATTTTGTTTTATCTTTATATTTTACTTAATTACATAAGACAAGGTGAAATGCCTATGTGACTTTATTCAGATCTAGACCATATGTATATATATTCAAAAAGATATTCTCATTTTGTAGCAAATGTGAGTATTTTTTTCTAGCCTATCCACACATTCAGCAACAGTAGAAAACTACGGAGCATTAAATGTTGGACCATCATGTGCTACAGTCAGAATCTAAATATAAGTGAAAATATAAAGCAGATTCACAAAAACGTTAGGAAAGTAACATATCTCTTAAGGATGACAATGTAACGTTAGATTGAATTAAATACATGGTAAAACTCTAATTTCAGAGCATAACCATTTTAATCATCTGCCATGATGCTGATTTCTAATGTTACATAATAGTGGTTAAGAATTAAAAATTATCATAAGAAAATAATACATAATGCCACTTATTAGCATAATAAATTTTAATTTCTATAATAATCAAATAAACAGTATGGACACTGGTTTTCCTTATTATGCAGAAGCTCCATCCTGCCCAGCAATAGGTGTAATTTAGTATTCATGTAAATGATCCTGCTGAGTGTCATTATGTGTGTACAAGGAATTAAATAAAAATCTATACTTTAATTCCTCTTTTGTCTCTAGGTAGATAATACTTCTGCAAAAGATATTACCAAATTGTTGAATTACATTGATATACATTAAAAATCTACCCTACTGAATTCAAAAGTTCCCCCCTCAAAATGTAAAATTCACCTTGTTATTAAAAAAAAAAAATCCTAGCCAGCGAACCACACAAATTTATCACTGTTTACTGAGTTAAATATCCCTGACAGGTGAAAAAAATAATTCAGTAGGAAAATTAATATCACTTAGGTGAGATGGGTGGTGTAGTATGTTCCATCTTCAAAGATGCAGAAAGAAAAGATGTAGCCTCGTTGGAAAATGGGGATAAATAAAACCCGTAGAATAGCAGTGTTGCTATTGTCACAGATATATCACAAAATGCTGAACAGTTTTTTTACTTCTTCACATTTTAAACTTTCTCATGCTAAGCTGTAAGACAGATTTGACAAGTGAGATCACAGACTCTTAAGTAGCTTTTTCTATTGAAAAGTGATGGGACTAGCAAAACAAAACACAAATGTATTTATCATGCATTTCAACTATCACATGTTCTAGCCAGTTTATTTTAGTCCTACTAAGATTTTCAAGTGCTAAAGCAACTAGAGATCTATTGTAGTATGTTTGAAAATGAAAATAGAACAAATAAAATAGAATGATCATTACATTTTTTCTTATTCTTCACCATCTGAGTTTCTAAAATCAGAATAAGAAACTTGAATTTCCATATCCTATTGTACAACTATGAATAAACCTTATCTGTGCTGAGTAAACCCAAGATCAGTGCAAAATACCCTGTTTCTCCAACAATACGGCCTCCCCCAATAGGAAGTCCCAGCATGTTTTATAGGCATGAAATGAAATTAAGCCCCTCCCCCCAAATTAAGGCCTATATTAAAACATGCGAAATGGGGGGAATGGTGGGGGGGCTTGCTGTTAGGAAGTACTTTTGTTGCACACCCGGATATGGTGCTGCCTGCGTTGACCCCGATACAAAGTGCCCCACCAACGCTGAGGTCAACATCCAAGCCGTCGCCACCCGCCTGAAGATGCAATGGGGGGGGGGAATTAAGTCACCCCCAAAAAGACGGCCTAGCCATTTTTTCGGGGCTAAAAAAAAAATAAGACCCAGCCTTATTATATGAGAAACACGGTAGTAGGACCTCTCCCTTTATTTTTTATCTTGTCAACTACCAATTTAAGGAATAAAAATACATCAGAGTCCTGGTTAAAATAAGTTTCAAACTGTGAGATGAGCAGCATATAAATTTAATAATAAATTAAAATAAAAATTACTTTACCAGTGAAATAAGACCCAGATAGTTTCAGATTCTGGTTTGTTCCAAAGTTGGTAAGTGTCAAATCACGTCAAATCTACAGCAGATCAAATGCTGCTATAGTTTATTCAAATGAAAGAATTAGGTGAACTCATAAATAGCTCTACTTAACAGCAGAGGAAGTTTATGTGTTTATTTGTTTGTTTTAATTAAAGCTATATATAGTGGCAAGGACGCAATGTGATACATATCATCTAATCCTTTCACTGCTTTCCAGCAATATATATGTATGTAAATGTTGTTAATATTATTTAGGCTGATTGAGACTTAATAATAATTGTTTTTGATTATTCTTTTATGCAGATTGTTTTTATCCATTTCTTATTTGAAAGGTTTCAGAAAGCTCCTGAATATTCTGTACTTTTCAGATATATTCTGAACTATTAAAATCAAAGACATTAAAAAATATTCAAGAAATGTATAACAAATATTTTAAATGGGGATAATTGTTCTAGGACCTAGGTGATTCTCATAAACCCTTTCAGTTGCAATTAACTGTATATAATAATCATAATTTAATAGATGTGAACATTTTAAAGTTTTTGTTTAATTTATTTTTTATTCAGAATTTTTTAATTAAAAAATGGAATAAGAATCCATTGTTGGTCCTACAAAGGAGGTGTGATATTTCCAGAAGCATTTCACCTTTAATTTTTTTTTATAGAGTGGCAATATAAAATTTGGAAAAAGTACTATGAATATAAAATATATAGACAGATTTTTTTTAATTTAGATTCATAATTATCCATCACTCACTTCGGCAAACAACTTCTAAACTTCATAAAAATATAAGAAAAAGCAAAATGGCATGGTTCTGTACTCTGGTGAAAAGGAGATTCATTTCCTGATTAATATGAGAAAAGAGCCCTACAAAAATGTATCTACAATTGATTAGTTCAGAAGGTGTCAATCTCATACAATTTTGTTATCACAATCTACATTCTAGAATTATATTTGGTTTTTCTCCATAGCAAAGATAACATATTAAATGTTAGTTTTTATTTGATAAATGTTTTAAATTTTGTCTTCAGTTTCAAAAAGACAAATTTCAGTTTATCCCACTATGCACCTTAAGAATCAATATGCCAGATACCAAATTTAGGTAAAAACAGATTATAAAAAGAGCATGTTTTTCGCAGCAAACCAGAACAATTTATTGTACATATTTCCTTCTCTTAGTTTGAGGCCAGGCTCAGATTGAACCTGATGCTGGTTCAGTTGTTAGTGATAACTATAGGAACTGTAGTCTTAGTCTTCTGTGTTCTGTAAATTTTGCAAGCCTATGAGTTCCCAGCAAAGTTTTTTTCATTTTCTTTCATCTTTCCTTATTATTTTCCCTTCTTTATTACCTATCTCTTTCTTTCTTGAAGATGTGATACAAGCAAGTCCACTCAAATTGAAGAACTTTTGTGATAGCTGTGGTAAACAGAGCTCACCTCTAGCAGTATACCAATGGTCTACTTTGTTTCTCCACCAATTCTAACTCTAAGGACATGGCCAGCAATATTTAGAGTGGCCAGAAGGCCTGTCAGCATTCTTCTACAAAGATGGTTCTGGCTTTAAAGGGGGTGAAAGCTGATGGTCCCAGAAGGCTTCTGGATTGGGCCTGAAAGGTGGAAGCCTAACCCTAACCCATAATGGATAGACCAGGTTGCCCTGATAAAAAAAAAAAAAAAACTTGTTTGTCTGGTGTTATCCCTGCCTATCTAGATGTTAGCTGCTGGAGAGGATGTGTTCTTGTCTTTTTCTTTACTTCTTAGGGTTTTTGTTGTTGTTGTTGATGATGCTTTTTTCTTCTTAGCCAACCAAGCTCATAGAAAACACACTGAGGACACTACAGTTAAACTGCGAGCTTCATATATTCTCTTCTATTTGAAGATATGATATGTATTTTACAACTTATTCCTCAAACTACATTGAGACATATATGGCAATTATATTTGGACCCTATATATAAATTATTTAGATAGCATAGAATCCAGTACTCCATTTATTGAGAATCTCCATTGTTTAATGGAAAGAGGATATTTGCCCTTCCTTGTCCCCTCTTACATAATGTCAAAATCTGGTAAAACTTTAGGAACAGATATTTTGGAAAAAGGAAGGTGAAGTGACATGTTTATCCCAAAGAAGAGAAGTTTAAATGACTAAAAGTCTTCAAATACTTAAGTGCTATCACAGGAAACATGGTATTGATTTATGCTTCATACCTCCCAAGGGTAAAACAAGAATTTCCTAACCATAAATAAACAACAAAATGGCCCACCTCCTGATTTGGAGTCTTCATTACTGTTGGTTTTCAAGTAATGGTTGAACAACCATTAATATGAGCCAGTTTGAAGATTCCTGTTCTGGGCAAGGAGTTGCCTTAGATCTCCAAGGTTTTTCCAATTCTGATTCTGTTAGGAAAAGGAATGACAAATGCCACAGTGCTGGAGCAAATGCACATTTACACAATATTAGATTCAGTACATAGTGGAAGAATAAATGGAAATGTTTTGGCAAAGTTTCTCTAACAAGCTCTATTCATAGATATTTTTCCAGAATTTTCCATGGAGTTAATGTTATCAACTTTACATTGGCAATGCATCTTTTGAAAACAGTATTATATTTTCAGCCTTAAAAATATGTTTAAAGGTTTTATATAGATGGAGGTTCAAATTGAAGTATATAATATACTGAATGCAGTATACTGTATACTGTACTTGATTGATTGATTACATGCTATCCAAGTGGTGTGTCTCTAATCTGGTTTTTCAGGCTTCCAATGGTGCTCACATTGGCACTGTAACTGAGTCCATTAGTCTTTTTATCTGGGTACATCTGATTCATTTTTAGGGATATATCAATAGGCATGTAATAATTTGCATGTATTATTACTCTTGTGGTTAAATTTTATAGAGCTAGCTTTCTTGTTTTCAGATAAGCATCCTTTTAAATGTAAGGAGAAACTTTTCATTCTCATTGTCATCATCTTAAAGAACTGAGATTGAAGTTTCAGAAGTGGGGTGTTTTTTCCCAAAACATTATGCATTCTATGTTTTTCATTGAAAATAAAAAAATATCATCCACACTATTTTTTTAACATAAGAGACTAAATCAAATGTAATTTGGGGATTTTAATAAGCTGCTTGTAATAAATAGAGATATGTAGATTTTTCATAGTGTTTCACAATGAATTTTAAGTCATAAAGTGATAGCGGGAAGTTACTTCTGTGAAAACACCCATTATAGGGTTGTATAAGTTAAGCTATTTCAGTTTATTCAAAAATCTGATTAAAATATTATTTTTACCATTATGAATGAACACAGCGACACTACAATTAATCTTTTATATAATGTCTATAAGAGCAGGTTAATTTAGCATGTTTTCATTGGTGCCATTTAACTTAGTTAATAGCTAGGAACTTTTAAAAGCAGGTTCTGCTACATTTTTAATCTTGAGTAGTAAATGTCTTTAGCCAGTGGCTGAATATTTAAGGATAAGGTTTTGATGACTAAAGGCCATAACAAAAAACGCAATAACATCACCCAATTGGGCAAGATTATGGTTTTATAGCAGGAATTTTTGTAGGTTTTGAACATTGTGTTTCATAAATATTTCAGTGTTAAGCTAATGCAATAGCATTCATTGCTTTTACCTCATTCTTGCTGAAAATTAGCAAAAAAATGCATCCTGAAAATTTTATACTGAAAAATTCTTGTTCTAAAATATTGCATACTATTTTAATAAATAAATAAATAAATAAGATTGATTTGGTGGCTACATGCCAGCTACTAATAGTCCATCAAATTTCATGCCAGCTACTAATTGTCCATCGATATTTTGAACATTTTAAATCATTCTCAACAAATTATGGCTGTGTTACTTATGTAGCATATTCACATCTCTTTTAAAATACCAAAAATCTATTTTTCTAATATGGTGCGGTTTAGTCACACAGCTCATACTTTAAGATAATTTTTGCCAATATTTCTAAATACACATTTGGGATTTGAGATATACTTCGCTGATGGAAGCACAGAAATTGCATACAGGAATTAAACCTTGGGTTAATTGATACAGTGGACAAAGATACCGCTTTCTAAAACTCTGAGGAGCTCTTTTCCATCATTGTAGACGTGATTGGACTAGGACGATTCAAACTTTGATTCAATATATGGGAGCTTTCTTTGTTCCTAAATATCAATATTTTTATTTAATCATACCAACGGATTTTGAAGAAATCATCTTGACTGCTCCACACCTGTAATAAATATATGGTGACAGTGTTCAAGAGTTTTAAAGAAAAAATGTCATTCTTTCTGTAACAATCTCTGCTCTTTATTTGATTATTATGAAATATATCTGAAAATGTAACATAAAATGATCTCTGCTCTTTATTTGCAATACATTGATTATTATGAAATATAACTTAAAAACATACCACTGAATTACTTCGATGTCATCATTTTGTTACCGTATGTGACTTACTCTCTTAAAAAATACTTCAGCACTCTCTTCTCAGAAACATTTGTACATTCTTCTTCAGAAGAATGTGTGGTTCTTGAGTCTTATGCCCTGTAGAGATCTTTATGTATTATTCCTAATTCCTTTTTATTGAAAAATTTATTTCTTCAGTGATATGTGATTCAAGAAAGAGAGTATATGTACCATGTATACCAAATTAATTACATTTATTAATAACATGTACTTCCCTTCTTTCTTCAATAACATAATCTAAATTCTTCCAGTAGTAGTGTGTCTGAAAAGGCTTCTGCATCTTATTAAATATTGATACTGTATTTGTTAGCATAGAGAACTATGGTGTAGTAATTAAGGCACCAGCTAGAAGCCAGGAGACTGTGAGTTCTAGTCCCACGTTGTATACCAAGCCAGCAGGTGACCTTGGGCTACTCACTTTCTCTCAGTCCTCTGATGGAGACAGTGTCAAATTGATATTGTAAGAGGTGGTAGAATATCAGGGCTCTTCATAAAATTAACTCTCATCTCTACTGTTTTAAATGGGTTCAGCTCCAGATTGTTCTGACTACACCATAGGGCCAGTTGTTCAGCCTCTTGTCTGCATACAAATTCATCACAGTCTCAAATGAGACTAATGACTTTTGTATCATCTGCAACCTTCAGTACGTTATCAGAGGAATCTTTGAAGATGCAATCATTGGTATAGAGAGAAAAGAGTAATGGAGAGAGCACACAGTTTGGGGAGGGGGGGCTCCTGTGCTAATTGTTTGAGTATTGAATGTGATTTTAACTGCTGCTTTCTATCTGCTGGAAAGCATATAATCCACCTACAAATGTGGTCAGGCGCAGCTAGCAGAGTCAGTTTGGAGATAGGAATTTTTGCAATGATGGTATTGAATGCCAAGCTGAAGTCTACAAAAAGGATCCTTGCATAGGCCCATGGGGATTTGGGGTGTTGTAGATGTAGTGCAGTGCAATGTTAACAGCATCATCTGCTGATCTGTTTGCATAATAGGCAAATTTCAAGGACTCTAGCAGCCGATCCGTAATGATTTTCAGATGGGGCAACACTAACCTTTCAAATGTTTTCCTAACTATTGTTGTCAAAGCAATCAATCTGTAGTTATTCAGTTCCTTGATGGAGGGTTTTTTGGGCAGCAGGATGATAGTGTGTTTGAAGCAAGAAAAGACATAACATATTGCCATTTATTTTTATTTTATTTATTTATTTATTTTAGTTTTTAAAAATGTGGGTGAAGGTGAGGGCCAGTTGATCAGCACAGACTTTCAAGAAAGAAGAAATTACTCTGTCTGGGCCTGGTGTTTTTCCAGTCTTTACTCTGTGAAATAGAGACCCCACACACCTCTTTTCCTAGGATCACCAGAGGAGGGTGATAAGTTCTTTTCCATAATCCAAGCTTCCTACTCTTTTTAAGAAGCTAAACTTCTAATTCTATTTCATATTACATTCAATACAGCAGTCATGTAATTACTCATTAGAAAAAAAATACTAATAAGAAGTATTGCTGTTTTTCTTTTGACTTTTTTGTCTGTAGATGGATTAGTTGACTGCATGGATCCTGATTGCTGTTTGCAGAGTTCCTGCCAAAACCAGCCTTACTGTCGAGGATTGCCTGACCCACAAGATATTATTAGCCAAAGTCTGCAATCACCATCTCAGCAAGCTGCTAAATCCTTTTATGATCGGATCAGTTTTCTTATAGGACCAGAAAGCACACATGTTATTCCTGGGGAAAGCCCATTTAATAAGAGGTGACTGTATCATTGTAGTCTTAAATAAAAAGTTAATGTCTTAAGGACTTTTTTTACATTTCTGATGCTCTATTCCCCCCTGCCCCCCAGGATAGTTGGAAACCTTCAAACTTTGAAGTCAAACTATGTGGCTATTATGTATAAAACTTCAGATCAGTTTACACACCTTTTCTTGTTTGCCGTTCTAGTAGGACATTAAGGTTCTGCAAATCTTATTCATTCAACTGATTTCAGTTAGCGCTGCTGGAAGTATATCATACGTGTGAAAATACCTTCTGAAGGGAAGGCAGTAATGCACTTTTAAAACAAAACTCAATGCATAATATAAATTATGAATTATTTTAGTAACACTGTGAACTCTATAACAACTCAGCGCATAAACTGCCTGTACAGGCTTTATTCAGCAGTTGCACATTTCAAAATAAGCTGGTAAGAGCAGGTATTCTGTGCCTTATTGAGAGAAAGTAGTAATTTATTCCTATCAGGAATAATTTAGCTGTATTAATCCAGCTTGACACAGCAATTGATTAAAAGTATTAGAGGAATGTTTCTTAAGACTCCCATAAGTTCTCTATTTTGCATCTTTCAAAGCTCTTGCCTAAAGAGCTTGCCTAAAAACAAATTAGCAAAACACTTTTCTTTGGAAAAGTGCAAAAGTTAGGTCCTGATTTTAAAACACTAGTACTAATTTATACATTTTTCCAAATGACTCAGAATGCTTTGGTTACGATTCAGAAAGTCTTGTATTTGAAATCAGGGAATTGTACACAATAGTAAGCATTTACAGTAGTGTTGTCTTGTTGTAACATATCGTATAAATTGAAAAAAGGCACACATACATATGTCCATACACACCACAAATTGAAATTCATAGAATTAATAACATTTTATTTAATAGCTCAGCAGTATTTGAAGAACGAAAAAAATTGTATCATCCATGTAGAGTGCATTGCTTCTTGAACTTTTCTTATTGGCTATTGATTTTGAAGTATTGGTTTTCTGGTTGAATGAAATCTGCACAATCCAAATGTTTGTGCTCATATTTGCAGTTAGAAAGGAAGATGCCGCAGTTGAAAATGCAAAGACTCATATTCTAAATACATTCAACATGAAATTAATATTTCAAATTCAATAAAGTAAATCATACATAGAATTTCACTATAAATTACTGTATAGCCAATAACATTTTCATAGAAAGAAATATACTGGATCTGAAATAGACCTTTAGCAACAAAATATAGCTGGGCACAGCTATATTTACTTGATGCAACTTTTTGTTATTCAGATATTGCATGTTCACATACATCATTAAAGTGTAACAGAAAGAGTCACTATAAATAAATAAGAATTTGAAATGAAGTTGAAATTAAATTGCATATAATGCTGTGAAAATAATATAATTTAATGTTTATTGTTTGACAGAAGTTTGTAAGATATCTGAATGATTTTGATTTGTGTCTTTCTCCACAGTCTTGCATCTGTCATAAGGGGTCAAGTATTAACAGCAGATGGAACACCACTAATTGGAGTCAATGTCTCCTTTTTACATTATCCTGACTTTGGTTATACAATCACTCGTCAAGATGGAATGTAAGTTTTTTTTCATGTACCTAAAATATAGCAGTTTTCATTCTTCTGTCTATACATCAGAATCATTGCACTGATAGGTTGCAAGATAGTTGACTGTCATAAGGTTGAAACTGGCTGGACTTTGATAAGTGACCACAAGGAAGAATCAGATTTATCAGCTACATTGGGAAGCAAAAAAACTATGGTTTGCACCAGTATCAAACCAGTGCTAAGAAAACTCCATAAATACATTCCTGAAGTCACAAGAAGTTGTGCTTATCTTAGAGGAATTATTACCATTAAATCTTAATTGTATGTATCAGTTAGAAAGGTATAAATTTAAGATGTATTACTAAATAATTATCTGGTTTACCTAGGTTTGACTTGGTGGCAAATGGTGGTGCATCATTAACTTTAGTGTTTGAACGATCACCATTCCTTACTCAGTACCATACAGTCTGGATTCCATGGAACGTCTTCTATGTCATGGACACCCTTGTCATGAAGAAGGAGGAGAATGACATTCCTAGCTGTGATCTGAGTGGATTTGTGAAACCAAATCCCGTAATTGTATCATCACCATTATCTACCTTGTTCAGGATCTCTCCCGAAGACAGCCCTATTATTCCTGAGACACAGGTAAAATGCCATTTAAGTGTAAAAATCTTTGCGTACAAATAATTGAAATATATATTTTAAATCATTAAAACAACAATAAAACAACAATATGCAATTTGTATTGGTCTTATCAGTGTGCTGGTTAAAAAGTTTTAACTTTATCAATTCCTAAGTATTTCTCAATAGTCAGCTAATGTCTTAATCTTTCTATAATTCATTCTGATCTCTTGAAGTCTCATTCATTTCATTTTAGAGTTATGTGATCCCAGTTCACACCTGTTTCCTGACACTGTGTTTTTTCTGACCAAACAATTTTTTCTGACCAAACAATTATGTGACACCTAATAGTTAATCTGCCTAAAAGAAATATCATGTTTTGCTTGTCAAACATCCAATAAGCTGCAGGAAAAGAATGAATAAATGTAAATGTCTTTTTTTTTTTACCCTTCTATGTTATTCCTAGAATATCTGCCTATAAGAAAGACTAATTTGAGCAAGTATACTTACTGGAGAGAATTGCCTCTACATAATTTTTCAAAATATTGAAGAATTTGAATGAGGATAGTTGAGTCTCCAGATATAGAAAAGTTTTCATTCTTGGTTTTCTGGCAAACAGCTTTTCCACGATTGTGTTGTTTGTTTATGGGTTTTTTTATTTTATTTATGTATTCAACACCATTAAATATCCATCTACTTACCTATTCAGATTTGTCTGTTTTATAACTTGATACTCATTTCAAACCCATGTACATGTATTCACAAAAATACTTTTGAACCTTCTGACTACATTCTGCCTTAGTTCTTGCTTCGGAATGTAAGTCCTTGCCTCATTACTTCAATAATATCATTGTAGAGACAAACCAGCATTTCAAAGATATGTTTGTGAAAATTGATGACATTAGGCTGTTAAAACCTTCTTTATCACTCTCAAGGCTATCAGTATCTTCATTTAAAAAAAAGCTCTCAAAACTAAAATGGCAGCACATGAAAAAATAATGTCTGGTGAGATTTAAAAACAATGATTAAACAATTACCTGCCCGTGCTATGGTTATAACCCATATTGTGTCTCTGTGTGGTCTGCAGACCTTAATCAACTTGTTTGTAATCCTTTTAGTTGTTTGGCTCAAGTGTTGTTTCCAATCTTTCCAAAGATAAAACAGTAGCTTTTAGTAATGTAAAAACTAAGCCAGCAACCAATGAGTTGATTTTTTCCCCTCAATATAAATTAATTTAGAAAGTTTTTCTTTCTAGGTGCTTAGTTAGGCTCCTGAAAAGAATATATTAAATGTGTAGTGTAGATTTTCAAAGCTGTTTATTGGTGAAATAACTTCCAGATAATGCCATAACAGAAACGATCTGTTGCCAAGTTCAGTTTCAGATCTGTTCTGAAGAAGCTGGCTAATAAAATATCATCACATTTATTTTTCACATTTCTGAACCACCCTTCTCCCTCAATAAGCAGTAGTTGTCTCATACAGCATTACCTGGAAGTCATTTCATCAATTATATTAAACTATTTTCTAGTGGCATCCCATCATGATTAAAGTTCTCTCAGAATCTTTTACAGGTAGTCCTCGACTTACAACCATGACTGAGACCAGACTGTCCATTGGAAAGCAAGGCAGTTCTTAAGTGATTTGCACCTGATTTTATGACAGTGTGCCACAATTAAGTGAATCACTGCAGTTGTTACCGAATCAAGTAGTCATTCAATGAATCTAGCTTTCCCATTGACTTTGCTCGTCAGAAGCTGGCTGGAAAGGTCACAAGTGACAATCACATGACCCCAGGATGCTGCAATGGTTGTAAATAGATGCCAGTTGCCAATTCTGATCACATGACTGTGAGCATTGTGATGATTGTAACCAGGCAGTCTGATCAAACATAAGACACTTGTTTCAGTGCCAATGTAAATTTGAGCAGTTGCTAAATGAATGGATTATCAGTCGAGGATTACCTGTACCTGTATTTTCTTACTTGTGCATACAATGTCATACAAGTAGTCCTTGACTTACAACAGTTAGTTCAGTGACTATTCAAAGTTACAACAGCATTGAAAATGTGACTTATGGCCATTTTTTCACAGTTACAACCTTTGCATCATCTCCATGATCATATGATCAAAATTCAGATGCTTAGCAATTGGTTCATATTTATGACTGTTGCTGTGTCCCAAGGTCACATGATCATCTTTTGCAACCTTCTAATAAACAAAGTCAATTCACCTAACAACTGGGTCACTGCCTTATCAACTACAGTGATTCACTTACAAGTGTGGCAAGAAAAGTCATAATATGGAGCAAAACTCACTTAACAAATATCTCACGTAACAACAGAAATTTTGGGCTCAATTGTTGTAAGTTGAGGACTACCCATATATAGTTTCATTTCCAACATATTTTTTCATTGTCTTTGTTTAACAGATTATGATGAAGACATTATGAAAAGATGTGTGAATGATTTTTTCTTTGCATGTTTTTTCACTATATCTTATCAGTGCAGCAGTATAACTAGTTGATAAAGATAGTATTATATGTAATGTATTTTGGTACAGGAATACATTCCTAAGTTCCTTCCCAGGTTGATTGGTTTGAATGATAAGATAGGAAAACTATATTTGTTATTTGATTGTTTCAAATCTATATTTTCATGTTTCTTGATAATACTTTAATACATTTTTAAGGGGGAAAAATAAATTACCCAGTAATTCAGGTATTTGCTCAGATAGTCTACAATTTCCTATATTCTTGTGACTCTTTGGGAAGCTATTCAGAGAGTTCTAGATAAAATTCATTCTGTGAATTTCTTTTCATTCGTGGTTAACTAAATAAAAAGAATATTTTGCCTTATAAATACAATAATTTCACAAATCAAATAACCACAGGGAGTGAGGAAAATATTATTCTTCATGTCGATTAGCTCATTAATATTTCCTCAAGGTATTCAGTACTCTTCAAATGCTTTTGGGCTTCTGGCCATAACAAATATGAAAAGAATATTCTGATTTCTGTTATCTGGTGTTTTTTTCTATTTTTTGTACCTTTTCCATCATATCAGTAGATTTAAAGTGGTGAGACTAATTTATTTACTATTAAATTTATATCTTGCCTTTTTGTTTATTCCTGTTCTCATAGTGGCCTACAACAATAGAAACATAAGATGTAAATCTTAATAAAATTAATCAAGGTAATTTACAAAAACCAACATTAAAATCAACCATATAAATAAAGATATGTTTTTGGCATCTTCCTTAATAGTATGAGTGGGTCAGCGAGACCTCCCTCAGAGCATATTCCATAGACTGGCAGACACACAAGAAAATAGTCCTTTTCCATGCCAAATGTTTGGCTGCAAGGACATCTTCAACAGTGTTTAAGTTACAGAGAAAATTCATATGATAGATCAGTTCCACAGATAATCAGGCCTAAGCCATTTAGGACTTTTTAAATCAACACGAGACCATATATAGTGCTTGATGAATAACTGGTAACCAGTGCAGATCTTTATTTACAGGAAACATTTGATTTCTGTTCCTGGTACTAATAAACCTCCTCATTGTAATTTCTCAGCATTTCTCATATAAAGTGCACTGCGATGCAATAATCAATACATGTTGCATCTGTTCATAAGTTGACTAGATCAGGAAGACCTAGTTGTAATTATGGAGATACAGTCCTTGTCCCAGAAGAATTTCCAAGCAGTAGACCTGGAAGAATATTGATCCATTCAAGGTCAGCTTCACCTTAATTCCAATGTCTCTGTCTCTTTTCCCCAACAATTTTTCTGTCTTGCCTGGATTTAATTTCAGCTTGTTCTTCGTTATATAGCCATTATTGAGATGAAGCCATACTCAAGGATATTGATTGCCTCCTTGGTATTAAAATACAGGGAGCAGTAGAGTTGGGTTTGGATTCTCACTTCATGCACAAGACCAGACTTCAAACTATCCTACTTGAGGTATATGCAAAGATCTGCTTCCAAAACTCTTTAGAAAATCTAATGCTGGGAAAGGTGGAAGTAAAGAGAAGATGAGAACCAGCAGCAAGGTGGATGGACTCAGTCACAGTGGCAATGAGTACATTATAAGACCTAACAGAACAAATTTTCATGAAGAAAATCTTTGTGTTGCTAGGAATTTAAAATAACTTGATGGCAGATTGATTTTTAAAAAAAGACAAGCTCAAAACCAGCTGTTTCAGATTCACTGTTGTGGAATCAAATTTCAAATGGGCCCTGAAAATGTTCCTACTCCATGTTTGATCTCATTCAAAAGGGAAGTTTCTCCTTTGTTCATCATTGGATTTCTTGTTGTGGAAGTGACAGTATTCCATTAATAGGACCCATGTATCCCAAAGCATATATGGATTTGAAGAATGGATCTGAGTAGTAGAGTAATATTTATATAGCATGTTTCCTCTAATGAAATGCATATGCTATCCACCCTCAAGAGCAGATGTTTCCTTTTACTTTGATGATACCAATGCTTAGTTTAAATCCAGCTTTTGGGGGTGAAATCTGGTGTTTAATAATTAATAATATGTGGGCCTAACAAAGCTATATCCCAGTTACTATAAAAAAATTTTTTTGCAACTCTGACAAATATAGTATTTACCTGGCTTAATTTGAGACTTAGAATTCTCTTTTTAGGAAAATTTTCATCTTAACGAGGAATCTTGGTAGCTTTATAGATGAAATTTAAACTTCTAATTTGTAATGGTTTTTTTTTCAACTCAGTACCAACCATATAAAATATAATTGTAACACTTGGAACTAAATTCTATAGGAATTAGAAGTTACAAAATTAAAAACGTTGTATTTGTACCTTAAAATAAGGTAGTTTCTCTTTTACCAAGCGTCACGTACAATACATATTTTCACTGGTATCAATAGAAAAACCTCTTACGTGAATGAATCTTGCCTTAGATTTGTCTTACTTTTTATTTTTTTCAAGTATTACTTATTAAATTCCATATTTTTTAAAAAAGATTACATTTTTATAAATGAATACCTCTTTTAGGCATTTTATCCCTTTATGCTTAATCTTGCTTTAGTCTACTGTTGTAGTGGCGGAATAACCTTGAGAGATGTGGGAAGACATGTTGCAGAGGGAATGATCATACCTAAGTGAGAGGAGCCCGCAAGTGCTTAACAGTCAGAAAAAGAAATTTAGGAGGGACTCACCGTGATTGATCAGGTTGTTGAAAGTGATAATGGGAGATTTGTACTTTCAGATTTGCAATTCTGTTAATGTAGCCATACAATAAAGTAGAATTAGCTTATCTGGTTCTGTTTAACAATTATTCTGAAAACACCAGAAGTCATACTGGCAATAGATAACATCAGTGCAAAGAGGCCAGTCCATGGTTAAAAGTATAAATCACAGATGCCACTACAGTGACATCATCAGTCCCTCCAAAATCATAGCCAAAGTAAGTCCAAGAATCCAGGAATTTATAAAGATATTTAAAGCAATATATAATATATTAACATATCATATTTATTAGATGTAGACAAAAGTAAAACTAAAGGCCAGTTTGCTGTTTTGAGTTGGGCTTGGCTTCTGGGATTCCTGGAAATGTACCAAAAGCCATAGCTCCAGATACTGCTGCCTGGAACAAGACAATATGAGATTCAAGACAAATGAAATCACATTATTACGGTTGTGTTCTTTTCTGGCAAAAACAGTTGGAAATCTTTGCCAGCATAGTCTTCTTCCAATGATAGTATAAATATTTTAGGTTGTTGTGATATTGATCATATAATCTAGACAAACGTTAGTTTAAATTTCATGTTGATTAATCATCATCAATTGAGAATATGATTGAAGACGTACTATGTCAAACAGGTAAGAAATTTTCTGTAAAGTTCCAGTCCAGATTAATTTAAAATAAAAAGTTTTACATCTAATTAAATGCAATCTTACATTTCATCAATATTTATATAATATGAATTTTCAATATTGCTGTATATGCTAAGGTTTCATAGATAACATTTTTCAAAAAAAATTGCACTTGTACATCTTCCTAAAATTATTAAATTATATTTCAAAATTCCAATAAAACTGGTTAGTACATCATGTAAAACTGAATAGTATATTACTATTTATTACTATTCTTAAGTGATTGCTACAAAACTAGGTTTACAGCTATAGTTCTCTAAACAAATAGCAAACTTGGATTAATTGGTCTTTTTTTTTCATATTTTAGGTGCTCCATGAAGAAACTGCAATACCAGGAACTGATCTGAAATTGTCATACTTAAGCTCCCGAGTGGCGGGGTATAAATCTGTACTTAAGATCACAATGACACAGTCTGTGATACCATTTAATTTAATGAAAGTTCATCTCATGGTGGCAGTAGTGGGAAGACTTTTCCAAAAATGGTTCCCTGCATCTCCAAATTTGGCTTATACATTTATATGGGATAAAACTGATGCATATAATCAAAAGGTCTATGGTTTATCTGAAGCTGTTGGTAGGTTTTGTTTATCAGATTCTTTTGAATATGCTAATATTATGTAATAAAAATTATATTCAATAGTATAATTCATGGTGGATACATTATATAGAAAAAAAACACAAAATTATGCTGTAAGTTAAATACAATATTGCAGTCTGTTGTACAAACCAAATGTAATTTTTATATACAAATACAGACATATGAAAGGAATAATCATATTGATTTTGTAACTATTGCATTGATTGTGATAAACTATTATTTTTACATTGAGGAAAGGAATCGTTAGAAATAACTGCATTAAGTGTATCGTTTCTAACACTAACTTACACGAAGAAATGTATATTTGTTTTTGCAGAAAAAGCCTTATGTGGCCATGGTGTTTTCAAAATTGCCTGAAATTTGCTATTCAGCATCTGATACACATGGAGCCATAAACTTATTTCAAGGAAACATCAATATATCAATATATGAGAGCTTCTAGTTTTAATTATTCAGTACATTAATTAAATCTTCAAATACTGAAAAATGCTAATTAAATGTCCAGAACTGAAAATAAGCAAACCCAAGATTTCTGAATATGCAAATAAACAGTTGCTTACACATTTATTCATTCTGTTTATAACATTCCTTCCTTCCAGGAGCTTACAGTAGACTATATCATGCTCCCTTCTCCAGTGTTCTTATAATAATGATGTTGTGATAGTCTAAGCAATTGTGAAACTCCAAAATGTCCAATGAATATCCACAGCTGGATCCTTCTAGCCCTAATCCATCATTTTAATTAACGTAGCACACAATTATTCCATGCATATAATGGATGTGAAAAAAGTTTTATTTAAAGTCATTCTAGCATAAGATTATGTTGAAGTGTTTCTAAAGTAAGACACAGGAGATGACAAACAGTAGAAACGTGCATCCATATTGGATATATTCAACTGCTCTATTACCTAAATAAGATTTATATGATCATAGTTACCTCTGTTGATAGACCAAATCAATGGGAGGAATAGACAATTTTTAAAACTACATAATTCACTGTACCAATTAATATTGACACAATTTTCAGAGGACTGGAAGTTATAGAATTACAAGAAAACCAACTAAATGTTCGATTCTTTCAAACACAATTACTTTGGTCAGAATTTTTAGGGTTAGGGTTTTATCTGTTTTATCACATGCAGGTTCAAATCCAACTTCATCCATGGAAACTTACTGCGTGAATTTAGGCCAGATGCTTCCAGCAGAACCTAGCTCGTAAAATGGTGGGAAAATAGCAGAGAATGAGCTCATAGAGGAAAGGTGGAATATAAATCTAGCAAATGGATAAATATTGTATTCCACAATAACTTTTGCCATACAAAATATATTGGTTTTCATATAATATTTTTGTAATATTTTTTATTGAATTAAATAAATGAGAATAGTTATTATGATATTTGTATCGGTGATTAACTGTTATTTCTTGATTGGATTCTGACTCAAGGATCAGTGACCTTTTCAAATGCAAGCCTTCATGTCATATTTTAAAAGAAATCATTTAATTTTTTGAATTTAATTTCAAAATATTTAATTTCAGAATTTGTGTGTACCACATTTCCAGCTTCTGCTTGGATTTATATTTTTCTATATTATATAATTATTGCTTTAACATATATTTATTTAAATATCAACATTTAAACATTAAAATTAATCAGATCAAATAGTTAAAAGCCTTTCATAGTCACTCTATATTAATAACACTGTAAAATGAAAATAAATTAATCATGACTATCAAACATTGCATTGCCTAGTTTATAGTAAAATGATTATTTTATTATTTATTTCAGTATCTGTTGGCTATGAGTATGAATCTTGTTTGGATCTAACACTGTGGGAAAAACGGACAGCCATTCTACAAGGTTATGAATTGGATGCCTCCAACATGGGTGGATGGACACTAGACAAACACCATGTATTAGATGTTCAAAATGGTGAGTATTATTAATCTTATAATGTTATGTAGTGCATCTTAACTGAAAAGCATAAAGTCCCAGATTCCACGTCTGAACATAATTGCACTTTTTTAAAAAAAAGTTTATAGGCATTATCTTGGAGAATGCTGTTATTTCTTCCAATAATGTGATTAATTCATTATTCTGAAACACAAAATGTATTGCTCCTCTCCAAATCAATTAATTTCCATGCAATATAGCACTCTTTTATCTGATTCTGTCTCTCCAAACATACTTCTATGTCTATGCAATGTATACAAACAAACAAACTGTGTATGAGAGAGAGGGAAAGAGAGAAAGTGAAATAAATTGTAAGAGGTTGGTAAAGGAATATCCCCTTCTTAAGAAAATATCTGTGTGAGCACTAAAAGTAGACACCAGCTTGATGGCAAATAATCAAATAGAAATATGCTGATTCAATAGGTAAAGTAAGTAAAATATTGGCTCTTTCCCAAGAGATGGCATCCTACTCCTTTTAAATGGGCCATTAACCATGAAACAATATAAAACGAAGACGCTATCCAGTCAATGCGGTAACTCATGTAAGGCAAAAGGAATCGGTGGCCAAGAACTTATTCATGCAGTGGTGTTTTTTTAAGTATATGTATGTTCATTTAATTATTTTTCTACTGAGTATATGCTGTTTGTAAATCAACTTCAGTGCTTAGAGATGTGCTAAGGAGGCCGTTGGCAAATAATGACTTTTGAAAGTGTTAATTGAATAAATGAAGTGACTAGGATGAGTGAGCTAGAAAAATGCATTGGCTTAGATTAGAGAAAGTACTGTGGAAGGTTTTTATAGGAATATCTTGAATGACTGCAATAGTCGAATGTTCATTTCCTTGTTTATGTTAAAAGAAAGATGTGAAGGAACAACTTTTCAGTGTAATGAGGAAATGTTTAAATCAGATAGTATAGTGCTAACTCTAGGAAACATGATTAAATTTATAGAACTCATGTATTTAAGTGACATTGCAGATTTCCTGATAATCATAAAGGATATAATCATAGAAGTAGGGAGTTCAGATTCCAGTAGTGCACTTTTTTCCTAAGTGCTTATGAGGAATTGAATTCCATATAGAGTAAAGATAAGTCTGCTGTACAGTTTTCTAGGAGGGAGGGAGGGAGGGTGTGGCTGAGGCAGATAGATAGATAGATAGATGATAGATAGATAGATAGATAGATAGATAGATAGATAGATAGATAGATAGATAATGTTTAATAGTATATGAAATATTTACCTAATGAAAATAAAGTAACTTGGATTGTGAAACTTCATCAATATATATTTACCAGTAATGGTAAAGTATAATAATTATGAATTTCAATTTTAAGTTTTGTACAGTCAATGAAATACAAAGTGACATGTACATTGCATGATTTAAATTAGATTGACATTTATAATGAAACCAATGTTACAATAATAGCTCACTGTTCTTGCAGCAGACTTAGATTGACTCATTAATCTTGATAATAATGAGGAAAGAAGTCTGTCCAATAAGCAGCATTAATTGTAAAAGTCTACATTAGGTACATATCTTCCTTCCCCACATTTCCTGTGAAGGTCATAAAAAATTATGCTGGCAAGATACTTTGTCTTTTTCCAATAATTGTTGATGCCTTTGAGCAGAACTAGGTTTAAAGGGCAGGTGACCTGCAAAAGCATTTTTGTTGTGTTTGACATATGAGAACGTAACTCCAAATACATTATAAAACCAGACTCTGCAACCCAAAGTAAATTATTATAAAACCATTTTGCAATGTGAAATTGAGGCTGTCAGAAAACTGCTCTACAGTAATAATGTACTAATACAAGATTTTGATTTGTAACAGCACATATGTTTGTAGTTTATTCCAAGAAAAGAAAGAATGGGAAATCATTGCTCCAATCCAACACTCAGCCGAAACTAAAAGAGAAAATCTGCATGCAAATAAATTCTGCAATTTGTTTTCATATAGCAGACTGAGAAGCAGCTTATGCAGAGATGCAGTCAACATTCCAGCTATCTGGAACAAAAGAAGACAAACATAGATTTGGATTCTGTCCAGAAACAGAAGAGTATTGCTAACTGGGATTACACGCACATACATAGCTGTTGTTCTTGTGCACACTTGAGAACCAGCAGTATATCAGCTGTTCGCATATGGTTCTGCTTCCACATATTTGGCTTATTATACATAATATTACAAGTGTAGATAAAAATAATTAGGAGAGATTCATTATGGATTATCTGAAGATCCGTGTTTGTCTTATTACTGAACTAGCTGTAAATATGAATTGTTGAGGACAGGATATCTAACACATTGTTACATAAAGTTACAGTTGGAATTGAAAGGACAATGCCAATGGGATTCTAAAGCAGTGTTTCTTGATATGTGCTCACAAAGTTTATGAACAAACTATTGTTGAATTTCATTGGTATGTGCTCAAATACACTATTCATATATTAATGTGAAATGCAATCACACTGTGAAATTTTAAGCTTACTATATTTAAAATGTATCTGGTTATAAAAAATTATTACAAAGAGAAGGGGGATCATGTTTCTGTTTTTTTTTTTTTTTAAGGAATCCTGTATAAAGGCAATGGGGAAAATCAGTTTATCTCTCAGCAACCACCAGTTGTCAGTAGTATAATGGGTAATGGCCGACGGCGCAGCATTTCTTGCCCAAGTTGCAATGGTCAAGCAGATGGCAATAAACTCTTAGCTCCAGTTGCCCTAGCTTGTGGGATTGATGGAAGCCTTTATGTAGGAGATTTCAACTATGTTCGACGGATATTCCCATCTGGAAATGTAACAAGTGTACTTGAACTAAGGTATATTTTCCCCTAATTTTAAATAATTTTTAGAATGTGGTTGTGATGACTCAGTAGTATCTCTTTATCTATCAGAATATAAAAATTCAAATGGTATGAAAATATTATTTTACTCACACAGATAGAAAACCTTTTAATATATCATAACCATTCAGGTGGCCATGCCAATGGAACCACTGTATGTAATGGCTACAGTATTTTACTATCACTGGGAATGCCAAGTTTGGGTCTTTTTTTAGCCATGAAAATTCACTGAGTGATTTTGAGTCAATGTCTCTCTCTCAACCCAAATGATTTCACAGGTTGGTTATTGTGGGGAAAAGTTGGAGGATGGAGATTGTTTATGCCGCCTGGAGTTCCCAGATCAATCTAACTAATAAATTAATACATAAAATTAAGGCTAAATTCTTACCAGCAACCTTACCAATTTTTGTTCTTTTAACTTTTTCCTTCTAATACTGTTCTTTTTGCTCTTCCTTCTTTTGCCTACCCACCAAGAAATAAAGATTTTAGACATAGGTAAGCATTTTAAGCATGTTCATACATTTTGTTGAAGCTATTATTGGCTTTAAATGAGTAAATAAAGTACTTCAAAAACTGCTTCAAACATTATTGCTTAAAACTATTCCAAAATAATTCTTAGTAAGCATAAGGTGAAAACTTGCTACTGTTTATTATTAATCAAATCACTTTCACATCCTAGTGTAACTTGTTACATCTTAAAGTATGACTCCTTAGGAAAATGTAAAGTTTAAAACAGATAAACAGTGTTTCATTATCTTTATATATTTCTGATCTGTTTTTAGGGTATTGGCTATGTTTTATTTCAATGATTGCTATCTTCATTCTGCTACACCTATCACCCACCTCTTTGTCTTTGAGCATCCTCAATACCATAGACCAAGGGTCTTCAAACTTGGCAAGTTTAAGACTTGATAAGAATGCCTGAGCTAACATGACTGGAGGAGGAATTCTGGGAATTGAAGTCCACAAGTCTTAAAGCTGTCAAGTTTGAAGACCTCTGCCATAGACAGAAACTACCATACTGCCTTTTTATATGGAATCCATATACACATTTGACTGCTGGGCATCAAGGCTTACAGTAACCCAGATACATAGTTGAACATTGTATACATGTGTACAAATGTCTGGGTTTCAACAGAATAGATCAAAGAATGTTTTAGCACTGTGATGGAAAATCTAGTATATAAAATTTAATCTCTGGCATCTCAAATGTGTCTGAAGCTCTTAACATTGGAATGGAATGGAATGGAACTGGGAACAGGGAGAAGAACAGAACAGAATACTTTATTTGGCCAAGTGTGATTAGACACACAAGGAATTTGTCTCCAGTGCAGAAGATATTAGAGATAATCTACTTTTCTACTTATAATTTTTTTTAAAAAAGTCAGAATTAAAATTGTTTGAATCCCACTTTTTCTAACATGTTTTAATTATATACATGAGTTTGCCATTTCTCCAATCATAAAATGCTACAAAAGGTAGCTTCCGTTAAAATATATATTCCTTGAGTTGTTCTCTCTCACCTTAAAAATAACAGTATTTGGGTGTTCACTTTCTTTTTCAGTGTTTTTCTAATGTAATAAAACTAAGCCAAATTCCACTATTTTGTGCCAGTTAAATATTCTTTTATTTAAATTTGTTCTCCAACCAAACTGTGTAAAATTATAATCCAGAGTTGAATTTTATATCTGATTAAAGCTTTTATTTGTCTTTAGACAAAGTGTAAGCACATTAGTCAAAAGATATGCATGAAAAGGCATATATTTGATCCATTATATTATTTACTGTAACCATTATCTTAAAAAAATTTGAAAAATATATTTTCCAGTTAAGAGGTTTCTGATCTTAAAATAAAAATCAGAACAAGCCATCAGAACCTTTAGTGCTTTGCCAAAATCTGTTCACAATTTAAAAATAGTTAGAATGCCTCCAGTTTAGGCTTATATTGTTCAATTGTCCTACTGCATTAATCAAATTTTACCAAAACTTAAATGTTACATTTTCCATCCAGATTACTGTGTCTATTAAAATAACATATTAGTAATTATTCAAAACTTGTCCCTACTTCAAACCATAATTTAGTCACAACTTGTTTATGTTAACCTCTGACACCCTTTGCCAACAATATTACATGCAATGTGTTATCCTAGCACTTTTATATTTATACTTATGAAATACTAAGCACTTTTTTTGTGAACAGATGCTCCAATATCACCAAATCTATTGGATACATGTTAGTAGCACATTTGCAAATAAATTAGAAATTGATCTGACGGATACTAGGGCTTTGTGTATTGCTAGGCAGTCTAATATTATCAGCTATGTATGCATTCATTATGCCATAAGTTAGATCTATTGTTATTGATGCAGCTAGTTAAACTTTTGGATTATATCTTTGAGCAGCAGACATATTCAATAAAGTTATTTACTCATTAAGAAAGAAAACTTTTTCTCCAAAATTGATTGAGCTTTGAAGAAAAGCTCCAAAATTGTATATTCTTTTATTTCATAGGAAAATATGGTGGCATATTTAGAGGTTTTTAAAATGCTGTAATATTTGAAAAAAGGCTGGATTTAATCACAAATATGTCTAATATTTAAAATTACGCTAGTGATAAGATGGTGCTTTTTGATCAGAAGAAAACACAATATATTTATCAGTAATATGGATTGTGTATTCAGATGGCTGATTTATGAGAAAAGGTTGAGAACAAAGGAGCAATCTAAGTGAAGAAATCCAAATATGATTATTTGAAGTTAACATTTCAAATATGTTAGAGATGTCATAGAATTATACACAATTATAGAATTAAAACAAAAAGATCACAAAACAATTAATTTGATCCAAATTTTAAGACAAATGACAATCTATGTGCCTATACAACTAGATCACCCGTTCTCAAAGTGTAGTCTTTGCCGAGTCAATTATTTTAAAATTTCCCTGTTTTCTAAAAACAGTAAATATCAATAGATATAGCCCATATAAACCAAAGCTTTTTGGAGATCTTATTATTTTTTTAGAATGTAAAAGGATACCAAATGTTCAAGAACCGCTGAACTAGACAAACAAAAATGTGAAATGGGATTATAATCATACTAAAAAAAAACTTGTTTTCTTTTTTGCAGTAGTAATCCCGCTCATAGATACTATCTTGCAACTGATCCAGTCACAGGAGAATTGTATGTTTCTGATACAAATACAAGACGGATTTATCGTCCAAAATCACTTACAGGAGCAAAAGATCTGACAAAAAATGCTGATGTGGTAGCAGGGACTGGAGAACAGTGCCTTCCATTTGATGAAGCACGATGTGGCGATGGTGGCAAGGCTGTAGAAGCTACTCTGATGAGTCCTAAAGGTGGAGGAAATTGAAAATTTATGAAGAAAAAAAATACACAATATTAGTCAGCACTCATGATAACATTTAACTCTATCTAGTTGTTTACTCAATCCTGTACTTATATTTTGTTTTCTGAATGGAAGAACCTTCCAAAACTAAAGTGGCAAAAATGAAGTCTTTGATTTCCTATCATTGATAATTTGTCTTTCATTATCATGCATTTTGAATATTTTTACCTTCTACCGGGGATGTACATGGAAACCTGGAATGATACCTAAAAGATGGCATGTATATGATGCCATAATCATGCAAAACCATAATTATATACTTGCATCATAAATGTGTTGCAAGTACGTAAATCATGTCAATTGCATGATTGCATCATTATGCGTATATCATCATTTGTCCATCTGTATGCATGCTATAAAGACTTTGTATCCAGGGAATCATGAAGGGTTCAATTTATATTTAGACACAATGCTTAACAAACTGCAACAAGCAGTGTTTTATTTTCATACATGATATCCCAGCAATACTAGATATATCTGGTTAGAACACAGTTCTATTAAATCTTTGGAATCATTCTTGGTGTTTCATGAAAAGACATTAAAAATAGTGTATAAATAGAACAGGAAAAATGTTGATTGTTATAATTTGAAATAAAATCATATAGTATATCCTTGTTTGTTTGTTTTACTGAAGGAGTGGCAGTAGATAAAAATGGATTAATCTATTTTGTTGATGGGACTATGATCAGGAAAGTGGACCAAAATGGAATAATATCAACATTACTTGGTTCAAATGATCTGACTTCCGCACGACCATTAACATGTGACACCAGCATGCATATCAGCCAGGTACTTTTAATAAAGATTTCTTTTTTCTTTCTTTTGAGATAAGCCGTTTTCCCTTGAAACAGCCTGTATAGTTCACACAATAACAACATCAGCATGTTCTTTATTGCATCTTCACTAATGAAAAAATAAGTACAGGTCTAAATGAATAGATTATTCATTCATTCATCCATCCAGGTCTAATCTATTCATATCTTTTCAGCAAATAAAACTCCTGGCAGGAGACAAGGAAAGAAAGAGGGTTTTTAAAGATTTTTATGTTATAGAATGTTCTTATGCTTGCATTTATTTATGCCTTCTGTCTGTGAATTCCAGACAATTAAAAAAACTCAGCAATAAATTTTGTGTTAAGATATTGATAGTTATTTCACCTTTGATCACTCCTTAAAATAAAATTTACTGCCTTATACAAGAACATTGTGTTAAATTTAGTGTCCCTGGAAACAACCTTCAGTTAAATTATTTATTATTTAATTTTACAAAATGTAAATCATTAAAGTGAAACAATTATAAAAACAAAGATTGTATACATTTATAACTTCATTTTAGAAACAATTGAGAAAAAACAAAAACTTTCAAGGTGGATTGTAACAATTATTTGCACGTGTATTAAAATATATTAGAAAACTACATTTATCATATACATTTAGTACAAACATTTATTCATTGTTCTAGTGTGATACAAACATTTCTTTCTTTATTTGCTTGCTTGCTTGCTTCTTCTTTGCTATGTTGCAGTGGGTCAAAAGCTAATGTAGAAATCTGAACTTTATACCTGAAAGCAATTTAACACATGACAAAAATCAAGAAAGACTATCAAACTTCATAAATCAGCATGTTTATCAAAACCTATTCTTGTCTGAGCATAACTCAGATGCTGTATCTCCTAATCAGAACTATGATTGCGATGGCATAGCATTTTACAACTTTTTTTTTTTAAATAAAGTTTTATTTGGGTTTTCACACGTACAAAATACAAGTAAAACATCTTTTTTGAAAATAGCATGGTCCCGGGTTGAACTTCTTTATACAGACACAAAACTCAATTTCATGCTCCTTTTTGTATTCTATTCCATATCTTATACTATTTTACATTTTCTATATAGCTTTTCCCCTCTTTTAATTTTCTCAATTTTATTTTGATTATCTCATCTCAATTCAAATCATTATATTTATACTTTTGTCTGTTCTGTTTCAATTTCATATTATCTTTTCTCATTAAACAAATTTTCTCCTGTAGTTACTAATTGGAGTATGATACCTTTATATCTTTTAATTACATCCATTCAACTCTTATTTAAACTTCAATATATACCTTAAGTTTATGACCTTCAATATAATACATAATACATAACTTCCAATTGAATTCTGCTTGGTATATTCTTATAATATACACTATATTCTTTAAAAAAAAATTGTAAATATATGTAATTATAAACCCTCATTCCATTCCAGTTCAGTTCTATCATTAATAATCATTAAAAGCTTAACATCTTTAACACTTCTGTTCAATTAAATATCATACTTCCTTAAAAACACATATAATCTCCATAATTAATTTTTGCCTTATTTCTCTTCACATATGTTTTATAAATCATTAAATATACCTTTTGTTACATTTATTTATTGACAAGCATTCCACTGAATTATGATAGCTATTTTATCAGACATTTTAATCATACATTGTTTCATATTTTCTAAAATTATTTCTGCTTCTAATATAACCATACTATCTTATGTACCTTTGCAGAATCCATTTTCCATTAAGTTTTCACCCATTATCTCTAAATAGGCCCTGTTTCTCTATATTTTGCTTCTGTCCTTTATAACTTCTTTTCCTTTCTTTCTTCCCTCTCATCTTCTCCCTCCCCTTTTTACCCCCTTGTCTCTCTAATTCTAATTCTCTCTTCTGCATTTCCCTCTTCTGTTGCTTTCTGATTTTATACTTATTTTTCACTCTATTTTTTTTTTTTGAGTTGTTTTTCCCAATCTTAAACTTTCCATTCTCTTTCCCCCCTTTCCTTTTTTCCCCCATCTAAGATTACTTGTTCATTAAAGATGGCTTCTTCTTTGTCGCAATCTTCTTGTTCTGCAGACATTTCTTGTTGTTTCTCATAATTCCAAATCTCCATTTCTAAAAACTGAAATACGAAGCCAAAAGAACCTCTCCCTTCTTATGCATCTTCTTTGTACTTTTTAAGTTCCATTTTCAGTTCTTCTAAAAATGAGCTATTTTAAACAGTTTTAAACAACCACCCGATTGATTTTAGTCATTCAAAACAATAACCAAGAATCCAGAAATCATCAAGTAATCCAGATAGTCCCGAGTTATATCTTCTTATTTCTTTTTCGACTTTCTCTTCCTGGGGTTTTCGTTGCGATATTTCAGTTAGAATGTATCTTTTGGAAGTCTTGTTGAGATTTTGCTGTAAGTTCTTTTTTAATTCCAGGCAGTCTCCTCCCTTCCAGATCCTACCCTTTTATTCTTTTTCTCTCCTGTTTTCAAAAGCTTTTAATTATCCAGAAATCTTTATTATCTCTTTGACTTTTTATTTTCATCATTAAATGCCAATTGATGTCAAAGTGGATTTTTTTCCAATTTCTAGCTTAAGTCTCTTAGCTGTCAGTATAGGAAAAGGAGAAAACCAAATCTTTTCCCTTTTCTCTCTCCTTCGCAGCTTAAAAATCTTCTTAGGGAACAATGTTATTGTTTTTTAACAGTTTCAATTCCAGGGTACCTTATTTGTTGCTTTTGCTGTTTGACCCGGTCAACCAAAACTTTCTCTTCTTATCTTCCTCCTGCACATTCTTTTCCGGTCAAGTTCTTCTTTGTGGTGGCCATTTCTGACCACCGCTGCAACCGCCTTCGGGAAAGGGAGTAATGGCCAGCTGGGGAGGAGAAATGCAGCTCTCCTCAACCCTGCTGGCAGTCTTCCCCCTCTTCACCACCTCTATGGGATGGCTTAGCCCCAAAACCAGCCAGCTCGGGATGCTCCAGCGGCGAGCACGGATCGAAGCCTCGCAGAGACAAGGTTTCGGTCTGTCGCTGAAGAAGCTCAAACCGGAAGTTTGCCAGCATTTTACAACTTTCTAAGAGATTTTGCTAGACTGATATTTTAATAAAAGGATCACAAATTAATATAATTTTAAATTATGCCTTTTTCAGTAGAGTTTCTCTAGAATTTTCTTTGCATTGCTGTGTTTGTCAGGAGACAAACTCTTAATATTGTGTGGGAGTTAGACCTGAAGGCCCTATTTGTTTCCACAGAACCCCATTTAAACAACTCTTCCATTAACTTTTAACAGATGAACAGTTGGAAGGTAGGTTATCTAGTCCAACCCCCGCCCAAGCAGGAGACCCTACACTGTTTCTGACAAATGGCAGTCCAGTATCTTCTTGAAAGCTTCCAGTGATGAAGCTCCTTTAATTTTTTTAACTCTTTCATTCATACAAGTTCAGCTGCTAAAATCAAGTTGCATTGTTTCCAGACTGTTCATTGTTTTTAATTTTTAGTCTAATTCTTTTCACCTAAGTTAAGTCATTTAAATTGTTGAATAACATCGTTCTCTAGTAATTCCATGCAATTAAAAGAAAACAGACAAGTATTCCCAAAGTAGCAACTAGAGCTATTTTAAATTTCATTCAGAAAATTTATGTGGCTAAAGCCAGGTTAACTAAAGTGTTAATACATTTTTCTTGTTTTGATAAGGTACGTCTAGAGTGGCCAACAGATTTAGCTATCAACCCAATGGATAACTCCATATATGTGCTGGATAACAACGTGGTGCTTCAAATTACGGAAAATCGGCAAGTCCGTATAGCTGCTGGAAGGCCAATGCACTGCCAGGTTCCTGGAGTGGAATATACAGTGGGAAAACATGCAGTACAAACTACCTTAGAATCAGCCACAGCTATTTCTTTATCTTATAATGGGGTGCTTTACATTACAGAAACAGATGAAAAAAAGATAAACAGAATAAGACAAGTAACAACTGATGGAGAAATCTCATTAGTAGCTGGAATACCTTCTGAGTGCGACTGCAAAAATGATGTTAACTGTGACTGCTATCAAAATGGTGATGGCTATGCTAAAGATGCCAAACTCAGTGCCCCTTCTTCCTTAGCTGTATCACCCGATGGAACACTGTATATTGCAGATCTTGGAAATATTCGAATAAGAGCTGTATCAAAAAACAAACCATTGCTCAATTCCATGAACTTTTATGAAGTTGCCTCTCCAACTGATCAGGAGCTCTATATCTTTGATGTTAATGGCACTCATCAGTACACAATGAGTTTAGTCACAGGAGACTATCTGTACAATTTTAGCTACAGTAATGACAATGATATAACTGCAGTTACTGATAGCAATGGAAATACCCTTCGTATTAGGCGTGACCCCAATCGGATGCCAGTAAGGGTAGTATCTCCTGACAATCAAGTCATCTGGTTAACCATAGGAACCAACGGTTGCTTAAAAAATATGATAGCACAAGGACAAGAATTAGTCTTGTTTACATATCATGGCAACAGTGGACTCCTAGCAACTAGAAGTGATGAAATTGGATGGACAACATTTTTTGAGTAAGTATAAACTTAATGTGTACCATTTTGAAGCATGCACAGGCTGGTGTAATTGAAATTTGATGTATATTAATAAGACTGATAAAGCAACTAATTGAAGAGGAATTGTGCACACAAAAAAGAATACATGATCGACCTGATAAGAAATCCAGAGTAATGTTGTAACCAAAGCTGATAACCAAGCTAAGCCAATCAATCCCATTCGTGTACTATAGAAAAATAGCTAACCAGTACTAAATTATTTTGTCAAGTAGTGCCAAACTACTCTAAGGTAGAAAGTATGAAAACAAGGTTTGTTGTTTCTTGTAGTGTGTTGAGCAGCTGTCCCTAATTGTTTGCACTGGTTCTGGGAAAGTTGCTTTCCTCAGCAAAATGTCAGCATGTGTTTTCTCAGTTATCCTGTATATGTTTTTATGAAAAGCAATTCAGATTATTCAGAACTCTGCTGGATTGGGTCCCAGATCCATCTAATGGATTAGATTCATCTATCGTTTCCATGTATAACTAGCCAGACACCACCTAGGAAACATACAGGTTCTGAATGGAACAGCATCTTTTTCTGTGTATCTCAGAAAAGTGCTATGACTTATAACTAACAATTGCTGTCAAAAAAGATTGTTGCATCAATGTAATGTTCCTATTGCAAGACTAGCAGAAGAGACATAAACCTAAATGTCCAGTCTAAAAAGTAATAACGGAAATAACTTAGATTTAAACATTGCTAGGCAGCAATAAAAAAAGAGAGTGGAAGTTGGTTTTTAAGTTGATACAGTACAGGATGTGAAAGAAGACCATGGAATAAGAATGAAGACATTCAAAAGACAACAGAAGAAATTAAAAGGGCAGAAGAAGGATGTGCTATAATTGTAAAAATACGAAATTAGGTGAGTTGAAACATTAAACCACCCATTTAAATAGATTAGGGAATTAAATAACCACTAATGGAGATATTTAGAAGCATATTGCCAACCCTATGTTAATTTAAAGAAATGAAAGAAACTTCCCTTTCCTTTCCAGTATAGCCACCAACAAGCATCTCAAAGTTCTGTTTTTGTCCTAAACAATATGACACGCTATATATGGGAAAGAAATAATTGGAATCATTTCTTCCGTGCAGTTTGCTATGCAGGCTGAGTCCTATAATTGCTCCTAACATGTATCTTCTCCTATTATTCAAAAAGTCCATTTGACCGTCAGATCAACTTTTATAGGTATGATAATAGAAGATTTATCTTGGAATCCGAATATAGTTTTTCTTTTGTTATAAGAAGCTGTTAAGAAATTCCTATTATTGAGGCATGTAGCTTCTTTCCAGAAAACAACTAAGGTATGATTCTGTTATGTAAATCAGTTAAACATCCTTTTCAATAAATGTATGAGACCTGGTATTTCTTAATGCATTTAGACATCCACATGTTTAAATAACATGAAATATTTATATTATTTTGTGGTAAAAAGGTGCATTCTAAATTGATATATTCCAATAGCTAAATATAAAATTAAGACAAAATATATGAAAAAGTATGTATTGATCAAAATGAAAATAAAATCTTGCTTTGATCCTATTTCACTATTCAAATAAAGCATATTCTGTTTTTACTTTTTTCTTTTACAAAGTATGTGCTGCCCAATCCATTTGTGGCTCTTGGCAGCTTACAAACACTGATATAAAAGCCAAAGTAAAAAGCCATTAAAGCCCACTTAAGAAGGCCTTAAAAATTCTAAATAACTCTTTAGAACACTAGGAGATCTCAGTAAAATATGTTAAGTCCCTTCCAGAATAATAACAATTACAATAGCAAATTGTTCTCACAATAGAAAAAACAGAATTAGCAAAAATTATGATGCAAACTATATAGGAATTAGCAATTCTTCAAGTAACCTGGTCCCCAGCTATATAAGATTTTATATGCCATACTGAGCACATTGACTTCGACTATGAAGCAATTGTTAACCAGTACAGCTGGTTTCTTATTTCCTACAAGTACCATTCATCATCCAAATTATTGCATTATGGAGCAATTGGAAGTTTCAAAACTATTTTATAATGCCAATTTTTAAAAAAGCACTTTGCAAACTCTATCCTTGCAGAATGAGCGTACCTACTATATCAGCTAGTACTGATAAAAGGTACATCTTGCCACTAATATAATGTGGCGTTCTAGCACCAGTATAGTATCCAAGAGGATCTAGAAACTATACATCTGATCTTATGAAGTCTAGTCCCAAGAAAGGAAGCACTTATACCTTGTCTGAATTCTGGTTTGACTTATTTTCCAACATTTAGCTCTTTGCATCTTAGTGAAGAACTCTAAGCATGCAATCCGGGTTCACAGAAAAACAGAGATAAATGCTAAGCTGGTGTGACTTATTCCACATCAGAATGCAGGACTACTTGGGAAGAGTTCCCAATGTCTCTAAAATAATAATCTCTTCCATGAAATTCTGCTGTCTGTTGATTTGGGTTGGTTTGGATTTGTTTGTTTGTTTGTTTCAATCTAATGCTGCCATATTTGAAGGAATATTATTTTGTTACCATCATTGTTTTAAGTTTGGAGATGAAGGAAATGTCACCTGTGCTAGGGGCCTGGCTATTTGGAATCCTAATAGAGAACTGTGCCTATGTTCAAAAGTTGTGGCAAGCAACCAACAGAGTAGATGGAATACAATTAAGTTGAGGAGATTCTTGTGGATGGATCTCCTTTTACACAGTTAAACTTTTATGATTTAGTCAATATCTGGACCATAATCTTAATTATTTTTCTAGTCCTCTATTCTTTTTTGTTCATATTTTAGATGCTTATTTTTATTGCTTTATTATTAGCTATTGTTGAAAATAAAGATTAAAAATAAAATATAGATTTATGTTCATTGCAAATTAGATTCATAAACAGCTATTTGAAGGCAAAACTTTCTAACTAAATATGTATCAGTCACATTAAAACTTAATTCACATTTTATTTCCAGTGAAAAATCTTAAACTTCAGGAAATCCTTCCCATGTCAAGAAAAGGTTAGACCCTTTCATTAAACATGCTGTCATACTAATTATATAATTTCAGCAACACTGAGATGCCATAGTAAAATACATATTTTCTTCCAACAGATGGGCAATATAAATATAGTAAGTCACTTAGTAGATTGAGTTTTATATCCTCCGAAGTAACATTTGAACTGACATTTAAATTAGTTAACTAAGATGCAGAAGGACCCAACTCTATTTCCTGATGGATGAATTCTATTGGAGACTGGGGGGTTGGTGTTCTGAAATAGGGAATTCCTGGCAGACAATTCAGACTCTCCCTTCATATAGTCTAGAGTCCCTGTATTAATCCCCAAAATGTCTTGTTGAATCTGAATTGTCACTTAACCTTACTGCTAAAAATCCAGATAAAAGTTTCAATTGTTTTGAGGTTCTCTGTTGGAATGCTGAAATACAGTAGTTCATGAACTATATGTTATACATAAATCTTTTCAGGATCACTATATTTTTTTATCCATACACTTTTTGTACCTGTTCTAGAAACAATGCATGTCCAGGTGTCATGACAGAAAAGTAACATTGCCATGGGAATAATCTGCAGAACCATGTTTGCCTCTGGTCTGAAACAGCGTGGATCCCCCCCCCCCCCCCCCCCCCCCCAATATTTAGTGAACATTTTGAATATCAAAATTTTACTTCATTGTTCAAAAATGTTGGAGAAACTGTAATAGGTATAGTATTATATACAACAGGGGTCTCGAACCTTGGCAACTTTAAGACGTGTGGACTTCAACTCCGAGAATTCCTCAGACAGAGCTGGCTGAGGAATTCTCGGAGTTGAAATCCACACGTCTCAAAGTTGCCAAGGTTGGAGACCCCTGATATACAGTATATTTAAAATTCTTGATTAGAATGCTATGAGAGATTTGCATGTGATTGGTAATTTCCAGTAGCTTGACAGTAAATAAAATTTCCAGCACCAATGCTGTAAATGAAAAGAGTCAGATTGGTGTAATAGTTAAGGCATCAGAATAGAAACCATGAGACTGTGAATTCTAGGCCAGCCTAGGCACAAACCCATATGGGGTGATCCTGGGCAACTGGGCTAGTCACTTTCTTTTAGCCTTAGGAAGGAAGCATTGGCAAACCACTTCTGAGAAACCTTCCCAAGAAAACTCAGGGACTTGTCCAGGTAGTTGCAAAAAACTGACTTAAAGGAACAAAAAAAAAAACCTCTTGACAATAATACTTATGCTTTACTAGCTTTGAGGCAATGGATACAAAAATAGTACTGTTTAGTTTTGTGAGACAGTAGCTGTTTCATGTCTCTGCTCTTTGCAGATGCTATGACACAAAATATTATTGCAAATAAGCAAGGAAATAGGTAATACTTGTTCATGCTCAGCCCTAAAACTTCATATTAGAATATTGGCCATTTAGAATAAATCATTATATCAATATACACCAAGCAATTGCAAATATTTATTTAAAATGTGCAGATATGAAAAGCTAATAAGTAGCTGTTAAAACATAAGATGATTATTATGATTTACTTTAGGTTCATTTTATTATATCACCATGGCTGTATTATACAACATATTTAGATTGGTTTTAATCAACTCATTTTTCTGAGTTTTCACAGTACAGTACATTAAATCATATACTAACCACACGGGTGGGTTCACATAGTACAAAACAGACCAAGTTTTCCAAATTGATATGAATATAGCCACAAATTTTGCAGCATTCCTGCTTGAGCATGTTATCTGAGTGTCTGATTCGTTTTTTGCTATTTGTGACTCAATCAGAATCAGTATCTGGTTCAATTTATGTATATAGTAACATTCGGTGATATTTTTTCCTGAATTCTATTAATCCAAAAGTGGAAACCTAGATTACCAAGGCAAACAGAGTTAGAGTTGATTAACATTTGGATTATGAGAAAATACAAGGGGTAAATCTAAAATTAGATTAGGTCATTGGAAGAACATTGCAGAATAGAAGTAAAAAATTGTGTT